CTCCGTATTGAACCATAAATGTTATGGTAATGATGGATTATCAGGTAATAATTTTCAAAGATGAACCACAGACCACATATGGCGATTAATCTTCAGAGCCGTTATATCGCTTGTGGGATCGCCCTTGAAACAACAATTTGGACAGAAAACAGCAAAGGTAAAGAAGTATTTGTCGTATTGGGGCTAACGTATAAGTGAGTTGTGTGTTTCCTTTAGCTGGCTTCATCGCTGCCCCGGCGGTTTTGGGTGTGATGACTACTTATATCCATTGGAATCTGTGGGGAATCTCAGCTTTCAAACCGCTATTACTAGTTTGTGCAGATCAATGAAGTATCACAAATTATTTCCTAACCGTGATTAGTGCTAAGTGCGTTAGCATCTTTCGCTTACTGCTTATTCCAGAGGCTCTCGTTAGACTTGTGTTTAGTTTCGGTAAAAATAGTAATATCGTCAGGTAGCCTGAGTTTTTTCCCGTAGGACTGGTATGGACACATTCCATAGTTTGTTGAACATGTTACAGAGCCCTCAGACGCCTGGGTTTCTTGCAAGACATGTTTGCGGGAGCCCCGCCCCCGGGGGAGGGTTAAAAAATCTTTTTGGACTAGCGCGAATAACTTAAGTAATTTACTTTTATCACCGCTTCATCTGCCTGATATTTTCTAGGACCTATCGATGAATGGGAATAGAAATGAAACAATACTAATAGTCCAATGGTGATGATTTAACAAATGTCCTTTGTCCTGTCCAAATAATAATTTAGAAAAGTTATTAATAGGCTAAACCAACTGGAGAAAAAAGAGCGTAATCTATTCCGTACTTTTTGAGAGCATGAGAAAACAGCATTTCTGTCATGTTACTTAAAGGAAGGAATGAAATCAAGTAATCAAAATAGTTAGTTATTATTTTCCCTGTCCCGTATTGATGATCGTAAATAATTGAGCTTTTAGCGTAAAACCACTCTTTCTTGTCCAGCCCACAGTAGGGTGGACTGGAGTGGGGTTCGGAGGAACGGGGTCTGGATTCGGGCACGTCCGGGCTTCCACGTGGCCTCATCCCCAGATCCCTGTAGAGGATCTTGTCCTGGGGATCAGCCTGGAGGTCCGTTACAAGGACCCCTGAAGCACTCTGCAGACCAGGGGTCTGAGCTGAAGAAACAACAGAAGAGGTTGATTACAACAGTACCAACGTAATAAGGTGATCAATACAAAATAGATTAAATTTGAAAACAAGCCTACCGGCAATTCAAGTGCATGTGAAGCGAGCCTCGGTCTCAAGAGTCGACAAAATCTCCAAAGGTTTGAAGGCTGAAGCGGCTGCTGGCATCTGAGACACAGGGGGACAGATCCATTTCAAAAAAATTCCTAAAAATCCTTAACTGTAAATTTTACCATGTTTAACTGCGGATTTGAATGTTTGTCCTGGGTTCAAATAATCAGCTTTCACAATATATGCACTACTATATTTTAGGGACCAGGATGTGAACCTTCCGGAGCAGTTGTGAGGTTTGGCACCGGGTGATAAAGTACGTCCGGGGGGCTGCCGGGTCCTGGCAGGGGACCAAGCAATCCCAACTAGAAATCATGTGGAAGGGTAAAGCTCCAGGGGGGCTTCCCAACAGGGAGGTGTAAATCTGAGAGGATGGGCCTGAATCCTCAATTTTACCTGGAGAAACAAAGTTTAAGGTAAGATTCTTGGTTCACATGGCTGAGGTCACGGGAAGGATTTGGAACCGGAGCTGATGTCTCCAAAGCCTTTTGCCTGTATATTTTTTGGGCCAGTCCCAAGGACGGGAAAACCAGGGCAACATTCTGAAAAATATTTTAACTTCAAAACATCCTGGTTCCTTTGTTTCTTCCAGCTCTCCCACATGCGGGCGTCCAAATCAAGCAAGATCCACCAGGACTTGACAAGGTGGGTATGAAATTGGGGGAATCAAAAATCATTGGCTTGCCATGGCCTACCACCAAAAGTGGGGCAAGTGGGGACATATATTGTATGGAACAATAACTAACATTAACAGGACACTCTATACCACCGATTGCTTTTGGGCGCCAGGTAGCTAAACCCTTTTCAAACCCTCAGTAACGAATTGGAATTACACTCCCTTGTTACCCAATGGTATTTATAGAAAAATAATTAAGGCAGGTTGGGCGGAATTCAGTGTCAATGGATTCCCCATTACCTCTGGTAAGCAAGGTAACATCATACAGGCTTGGGTGTGTTGTCAGTTGTGCTGGTATGGGTTGGTGGATGGGTTGGCGGGACCCCAGCCCCTGGGCACCCCCCCCCACAGTCCAGCGAACGGCCAGGATTTTCACAGGGGTTAGCGCACGACTGGGCCGTTCAGACAGCCAGCCCTGGGGGGGGGGGGGGGGGGGGGGGGGGCGCAGCTGTCCAAGCGGGACCTCTATCACGCACAGATAAGCCTGCCCCACGGGTATAGCCAGCCCTGACCCCCCAGGGGACACAACAACGGCTGGAAGAGGCCGGGAGGAGACAAGGGACAGACTGCCTGGGGACGGGAGGAGTGGGAACACTTCACTGGAGGGACGGGGAGAACAAGGAATTGCAGTGGGAAACACCTGGGTCTGCACAGAGCTATCAGAAATCAGAGATTCATGGATATGAGATATTATACTAATTTTATCATCACATATCCAATAGCCAACACATAAAAAAAAAATATTTCCTTGCCTGGTAATATGACGCAACGTTCCCCACCAAGGACCCAAATTCTTTTATTTATACCTTTTCAATCTTAACCATTTGTTAGTCTACTATATTTTTACTTTTTTCCATTTTCCCAAAAATCGCATGTTCATCCATTTTACAACCTCTTTTTTATATCCTCTGTCCCTAAACCGGGCTGGTTGACTCCTCCCTCTATAGTCAGGGCAAGGCTCGAAGACACAGGAGCTAAACCCAATCCGAACACACACACACACACACCCGCAGCCTGGCTGGGAGTTTGTGTGTGTGCTCACACACCGACTCACAGCCTCGCCGCGTCCCGCCGTCTCAGGGAGGAGAGATTGGCGGGGCTGCAGCTGAGAAAAGATTGAGTGTGTGTGTGTGAGGAAGTCCGCGGATTGGCCCATTTGGGTATGGGCACGTCACTGTACCCAGGAAGAAAACAATGGAAGAAGAGAAATCTCCAACGAGGCGTTCTGGGGCAGCACAGACAGGTATTTTCTGTTAGAGTTTTACTCGCTACAGGGTGTACTTTGAGGGTTTGTGACTTTGCAGACCGTTTACATGCATAAAAAGCTAACATAACATACAAGGGGACGGGTAATAACCGGAAAAGCATGACATGGGACATTTAAAATAAACTGCACAGAGGTTTAGTTTGACTATTTATGTTTAATAATTATTTTTTTGGTTGTTTCACTAGATTTATTTAATTATTATTTAAAAAATATATAGAAAAAACTGAATATTGCTAAATGCAACCATGACAGTTGTTATGTGTGTGTGTGTGTGTGTGTGTGTGTGTGTGTGTGTGTGTGTGTGTGTGTGTGTGTGTGTGTGTGTGTGTGTGTGTGTGTGTGTGTGTGCTTGTTCACAGACTGCAAAAACCTTAATCAGGCCAAGTTGGGTCCAATGTTGATTGATGACACACACATACACCACTGTAATGTTGCCGCTCCTATAAAGCCCTGCACTAACCCCAGCGATGTCTTAACATCGTCTGATAGCCAGTTAATAAGACCGGACCTTGCTGGATGGCAGCTGGAGCTCAAATGGCTGGAAAATGGAAATGGCTGTGTGAACAAAAGCATCTGCTAAATGAAAAGCATTGACTACAAACCACTGCCTCTAAGTGCCCTCACAGATGCAGTATTGTTTATTTCTTATTACATTACACTAGTAAATAAAATGGATACAGGACATTATCCGCCCCTTTGTGGATGCTACTAAATCACTTAACTTGCCTGAGATAGAGATCCTATGATCAAGGCCATTTCCTTGTACTTTATTTTATGAAGATGGCCACAGTGCAGTTACTCACAAAAGGAGATGAATCTAATAAATCATGATTACATTGGTTTATCCAAAAACATTGTGTAGCTCAGCAGTTGTTTTTGTGTCGGTAATATTTCATGCTGCTTTGATACCTGTAGATGACAGCTATTCCTCATCATGTGTTGAGGTGTGTGTGTGTGTGTGTGTGTGTGTGTGTGTGTGTACCATCCAGTTCTTTTGCATAACAGTAAACATCAAAAAGCTCTTTCGGGTCCCTCTTCCCATAATTCCTCACTCCAGCAGAGTACTCCTTGTGTCCATAGCAACCAAGCTCTGGCAGCTCGACAGAATAGCTGTGGAGACGAACATGTGGGAGTCAAAACTGTGAATGAACCTCGTTTTTACTAATCATACAGTCTTTTTAACTCGGGGACATAGTACCAACAACGTCTAAGCTCACATATCAAAGTGTATATCTTCATTAAGACTCTAAATGTCAGTTAGAAAAACATTCTTATTTGCAATCTCTTTTAAAGGGCAAGAGAGTAAAATCAATTAAAATATAATTAGCAGCAACGTAACAATGTTGGTAAAAGGAAAAACATGAGTCTGAAGCAGATAAAATTACAAAACTGAATACTAATTAAGACTGCAGATAGTAAGATACAAGTGGAAACGAACTGTACACAAAACAATCTTAAGGTATTACTTGACCAATCAGATCCAGTGCCTAAATGTAGTCCCAGACACAAATGGTTTTATACATTTCCCCACAAGTTGAATTATTCCTTTAAGTAAAAATGCCTAATAATCCAGTCCAATTTCAGTCTTCAAAACGGTGAATATGAATATGCTTTCTTGTTTTTCTATGACTGCAAATCGTTTATAATTGGGGTTAGGACTGGGGGTCAAGTAAAACGATCCATTTAAAAAACCTGGACTGATGAAGATATTGAGAAAATTATCTGCAGATTTAATAATAATAATAATAATTAATAAAATTGCTTCACACAATGCAACTAGTGAGCAACACCAAGTATGTGAGGATCAACAGGAAGTTATTGAACGCCTCCTCACCGGACAGTCTGATCATCCAACCATCCCGCCGAACAGCTGGCGAAGCCGTCATAGTACGCCGCCCACAGCTGGGCAGGTGTGGCCATCTGAGCTGAGTTCTCCTGGCAGGCCCGCTGGGCATCGGTGAACGAGAGGGCGTATCTGGAGCTGGGAGCCTGATAGTGAAACACCACGCCTACACGAGCAGACACAGGGACAGGTGGGGAGGTGTTTATCTGAGACATACAGCCGGGTTTAATGTGACTAAATCAGTGGGATGTAATCAACAAACAAGTCATTCTGGCCCCAAGCAGATCAATCTAACAGTGGGTGACTTTAAGCTTAAATTTCACAGATGGGCACTCCGAACAATTATCATGGGTATTCACTCCAAACTCTTTAATTAAAATAATTACACAATTGCTCAAGTGGAAAACTAGATAGCATGAACAACACAAACACACGCTGCATTAATGAAGTCAGTCATTACGATACTGATATAGTGAATCAATGTTATTAATGTTTAATTAAATACAAACGCTAAAAAGGGTTGGCAGTGCTCTTGTTTTCCAGCTGCCATTATCTATTTTACACTATCACAACAAGCCTGGATTGCAATAAATGAGAAAAATCAATTAAGAATGTTAAAGTATTTGTGTGTGGATGCTGCTTGGTCCGTTAGAAGTGTTTTATTCTTTAATACAGTATGTCCGTTAGGCACTAAACTTTTCTCACAGTCCCGTCAGTGGTTGCTGCACTTACCGGATACCACCAGGGGCACAGTGTCTCTCTCATAGTCGTTGCCCATGACAACCTGACAGTGGTAAGTGCCTGAGTCGTTGGTGCGGACACTGGAGATCTCCATGGTAGCATTCAGAGGATTGGCAGCGTATCCTGGCAGCATGACGCGGCCACTGAAAGCCTTATTCACCTTTATTACATCACCTTTGGCACAGAGAGACAGGGTTCTTCAGTATGAGTCTCCATTGGCATCTTGCAGATTTTTAGAGATAAAACATAAACTTATAAAGGGTCTAAGATACATATTAACATGTCTTCTCAATGGCTCGGTCCTATGTCAACACACACTTTTCTGCCAAACACAGTTTAGGTCATTTCCCACGAAATACTTTTGTATTTGTGTTTTTTGTCTTTACTTTTCCCACTGGGTAGTGGACGGGGATCAGCTTACAACGTGACTCTCAGACCATTCAGGATTCATTTACTAATTCAATGTGATTAAATTAAATCAACACAATACTGACAAAGCAAATGTTCTCGAGTTAAATAATGGTTTAATTTCTAACTTTAGATTTAATGGTTGCTTATTTAGTCTTTTATATTTAACATTATAAAAATAGAAAAGGAAATTGAAATGTAATCTTTTCAGAGATGTTAAAATATAATCAGTATTTTTATTTAATTTGAGTGGTTTAGTTAAAAGTAATGATCTGCAGCCTACTCCTACGTCCACCTGTTACTTTTGATTATTTTCACTGCATGCTGCATTTAAAAACCTGGTGAATGGGCAACCAGTATAGTTTCTGGACCTGAAACAAATTAGTAAAAGGCACCAACACTTTAAAGGGGGGTAAATCCCATCAGTGCCATGCTTTGACTTTGCTTAAATAATTTCACTCAAGGATCTTTTTGAAGTATTTACAAGTTACTATTAGGATTGATGTCCTTTTAATACCAGGAGCTACGTTAAGCTTGTTATTCGCAGCTCTTTAACTCATGAGGTTTGGATTTATTCATTACATTCTTCCAGCTGAGGAGAGCTGCAGATCAGCGGGGACAATTGTGTTAACACACACACATAGTTTGATCCATTTTTAATATAAAAACATTGATTAGCGCACCTTTCACGTTTACTCTCTAAGCACTTGAGATGTTATCTGACTGAGTAAAGTAATGTAGGTCTCAATCAACAGCTGACCCAGATCATCGTGTCCTACTTTTACCTTTAGCAGAAAGCACAGTCTGCTCATGAGGAGCCCCCTGTCCCTCGGCTGGTCCTCTGATGCGGGTCCACAGGACGTGGGGGGGCTTGGGGGAGGAGCTGGTCTGGAGGGTGAAGACACAGGGGAGGACGGCTTTGCCTGCCAGCGTTTGTTGGACTGTAGGATGTGTGATCCTACGCATGTTAACTATGGAAGAGACTGCACCTAGAGGACGAACAAGACACCAGAAACAATTAGAATCTAATTAAATGTGTTGGTCACTTTGCTTACAAGGGAAGAAAATAATGGACGTTTAATTGCATGTCTGACAGACATGAACAAGGCTGGTGTTTGAATAAGAGCTTGTCTCACAGTATTCTTCACTCAGCAGTGGAGGAGATGTACAGTATATGCATATGAGCTGTACTGTAACCTCTAAGTCTGCTACAGTAACAAGACCTCAGGGATTCATTAGCAAGTTCACACTCACGTTTCNTCTCATAGTTGAGGTATACCTAGGATGAAAATTACAGGCCTCTTTCATCTTTTTAAGTGGGAGAACTTGCACAATTGGTGGCTGACTAAATACTTTTTTGCCCCACTGTATATGCATATGAGCTGTACTGTAACCTCTAAGTCTGCTACAGTAACAAGACCTCAGGGATTCATTAGCAAGTTCACACTCACGTTTCCACACGAGGAACTGCTTCTATTGTACCAGCAAAGAAACATAATACTGACCCATTATAAGAATCCCACACATAATTATATACATGTATACACAGACAAGAGTAGCAAAAAATCACACATAAGTAATCACAGCGGCTCCAACTTAAAGAGGCCTAATTATGCTTTTTTGGGGTTCCCCTTCCCTGATGTGTCATATAGGTTATTGTATATGTAAATGGTCTGCAAAGGCTAAAATCCCCAAAGTTCCCTCTAGAAGGAGTTTCCCACACACTCTGCCCCCCTGCCTGAAACGCCTCCATTGGACTCTTTGGTTTACTTCTATAACATAGTGACACTCGTGCTTCTATTGGATGTATGTATAGGCTAAGGGGCCGGACATCTCTAAGGGATTGACCAATCACGACAGAGCCAGCCAGCTAACCAATCAGAGCAGACTGGGCTCTGGTCTCAGACAGAGGTGCTGCAGCACAGGCAGTATGAGAAAAATAGAGCACTTTTTGAACATTAAAGCATGGAAACAGGTCACAGTAGAGTCACTAAATACAATTATGAACCTGGTAATGAGCAAAACATCGTCCTCTTTAATTATTTATTTGTATGTCTAACCTATGTTTTCATAAATGATTCAAACTGTCTGTCAAACCATTTGATTTACACTTATTTAATGTGAAGATAGGCCTAACTTGAGCCACTGTCACTGTGAGAGACAGGTTCACCGGTCTGCAGATTGATATCAGAGGCCTGTACGACGAAGCCATACAGGTAGCGAGCTAACTTCAGGGGGTCCTACGACACTGGTTCTCTTCTTAGCGGGCTAGATCTCCATGGTAACTTATGCTGAACGGCTAGCCTGGTCCGGAGCAGGTTAGGTTCCAGGATAAGAGATCAACTCAGTGAAAGCACCGCCTGCTGACCAATCAGAGCTCAGTGTGCGAAGTTTAAAGCGATCAAGTCATATTACAGGAGAAAGGAAATACAGAAAAACTGCCGTTGCAGGAAAGACGGCCGGCATAAATCACCGACTATGTGAACGTGAAAATGAATAGAATATCACCTCCCATCTTCAGAGCAATCTGACTATTATAACATTAGCGTTAAGAAAGCTTACTTAAATATCTGCCACAACACAATTAACCGGATCAAAGTAACATTACGTAGCCTACAGTCCGTGGCACTGTGAGTGCAGACGTCGATGTGTCCCATTATCATTCATATCATATCACATCATAATGTATAACATATTTCCGAGTCAGCTGAGCCGTGTCTGGGCTTGCAACACTCCTTGTGTCACATACTGTATGCAGAAGTATTATTTTAAGCAACACATTAAGTTGACGAAACACTCGAGTCAAATGTAATTAAAGTCAGATTGTGTATCATAAACCTGTTAATGTACGCATTCAAACACTTTTTCTTTTAGCAGCTGTATTCACCTTGCAGGTGCAGCTATGAGGCTTTCATCCTGGATAAAGTGTTTAAGTCATGGATGTTTAAAGTTGAATGCCTTCATATTTGTCTAATTATAGTTGAGTTTTCATTCAGGAAGTATGACGCGCTGCGCTGTCAGTACGCTTGTCCATGTTTGTGATTGGTTGAATGGTTACCACCCCTTTTATGTGAACACGCACCTAACTAGATAGGGCAAAGCTGGCTTGAGTTAACGAGTTGATAACCAGCGTCGTAGGACAGTTTAGCGAGAGCACGTTTGTTTTGGATTAGGTAAACCGGGTAACTCAAACATATCCAGGTTAGGTTGAACCGGCTTCGTAGTACAGCCACACAGAATCAGCACTTTTGAAACAGGGCTGAAAAAGAGGGGAGTATGGGATGCTACAATGCATGATCTGTTTGGTATTTCAGACAAACACTTCGGAGACATGTTTTCTATATAACGGAGAACTATAATATATTGATGAAAAAGAGTATAATAGGGGACCTTTAAATCATAAAAAAGAGACTAGGCTGGGGACGGTCAAAACAAATATCTGTTTTTAAAACAGTTGTATTGTACAATATAAAATAGTATTGTATTAAAGACATAATATTATCGTAAGATTACTTTGGGTGTTGCTAGGGTTTGGGTTCATAGCAACATCTGACTTCTTCTTTTCAAATAAATAGTCAAATGTAATTCATAAATGATATGGGTCATTAGCAGACATATGTTATATTATTAGTATTATATTAAAACATGGTTGGTCGAGTACGATTTAGAGAAAAGAGTAAAAGTGATTCAACAGTCCCCAGTCTCCCCTACTGTTTTAGATTCACTTTTCCCATGTTCCGATGGGTACCCGAATGCGACACGGTGTGTGCACACGTGCGCGCTCGTGCTCTCTGGATAATGAGACCAAGCAACACGCCCCCCCTTGTGATTTCACCCTTTTCCGATGTGTGCATATTTATGAACGCGATTTTAGCCTCCACTGTACTTGTAATACTTTTATTATAGTTATATTAGGCACATTCTCTCTTTGATTTGATCTATTTTAATGAGAGAGTTGAGTTACTATGCCACAGATCCACGACTCAGCTCTTTTTTGGTATCTCAATGACAAGTCGTCGAAAATCCATATTTACGCCACTTGGTCCAAGGTTCGAAAACGACACAGTATACCAAACTTACTGTTTGAAAACAGCGTTTTAAAATGTGTGCCTGGAAAACTTGCGAACAGAGCCAAACCTCGGGGCCATGGTGAGTTGTTTAATTCCTCTTTCTCTTCCTGTGTCTGCCTTATGTCACTTCGTAACCAAACTCCATGAACAATTCTGTCATTTATATGTTTCCCTGATAATTTCTGTATGCGCCCAAGAAAATATGCCGTTATGCAACTTTGTATTGGTATAAAACGATCCTGAGATACATTCGGCATTCAAATTATCCATGAAGAGGCTTTTAATTGAATTTAATGTCAGATGTTTGTGTCAAATTCCTCTCAAGGCTCTCTGCCCGTGAGCTCTCATTCTGGACGATTTGGTGTTACATTTGTCGAGCTATTAAATCTGATGTATGTTTTAAATCATTGAAGAGAATTAGGAATTGAAGCGAACCCCAACGGTTCCTTTATTGCCTTCGTTAATGGGCACATTGCAGTGTGGACTAGCAAAGTCAATTGGTGTAATAAATGCATGGGGTCTGGTGTGCTGACAGAAGGGCCCCTCCTTCGTTAAACTCCAGCTAACAGTGGGGGTGTGAAGCCTGATGTAACAGTTTTACTGGAGAGTGTTTCAGCAGTGGGCTGAACATATTTGTATAAGTGGTGGTGTAAAGTAACTAAGTAGTTTAAATACTCAAGTAGGCCTACTATACTTAAGTAACATTTTGAGGGACTTGTACTTGAGTGATGTTGTTACTTTAATATATATATATATATATAAATATTAATACTTTTGTTTTTAATACCTTTAGTTACTTTACAGATCTGGATGAATGATGTGAAATATAATCAAGTCTTAAATCAGACTTTAGTTCCACCTGGAGTAAATTCACAAGCTACTGCAGTATACAAAGTCATTCAAACTAGCTGCACCTTTACCAGCTTTGATATGGAGCTATTTCAGGGTCATAAGTTTTGATCATTAAAAAAAAATACAATTTATTTGAAAGTCCAAGTTTTCATCCTGAACTTTGAAAAATACAATGTTGTATTCAAAACAAAAAAAAGTATTCGAAATAATTGTTCAGGTTGAATATTATTTTGATTCAGTTCAGCAATTTTTTTAAACAAAATATTTATTTTCATATTTCACTTTTAAACATATTTTGATATTTGAATACTTGTTTTTTTCAGTTTCGGATTTTACGTTTTCAGATGCAAAACAATTATTTTTTCAGTTTCAAATCTTTGTTTTTCAGGTTTCAATCTTTTTTTCGCCTTCAGATCGTTTTTCGCTTTCAGATCTTTTTTTTTTTCGTTTTCAGACTTTTGACCCTGATATTGCTTCGGGGGGCGGGGCTTAGCAAAGAGTAGTTTGGCACCCTGAAGGGTCAAAAGTCTGAAAACGAAAAAAAAAAAGATCTGAAAGCGAAAAACNATTCGACCAATCACAAACATGGAGAAGCGTACTGACAGCGCAGCGTCATACTTCCTGAATGAAAAGTCATCCATAATATTAGACATATGAAGAAGTTAAACTTTAAACATCCATGACTTAAACACTGTATCTAGGATAAAAGCCACATAGTTGCACCTGCAAGGTGAATACAGCTGGTAAAAGAAAAAGTGTTTGAATGCGTACATTAACAGGTTTATGATATCACTGCCCCGTCTAAGACACGGATCTGACTTTAATTACATTTGTCTCGAGTGTTTCGTCAACTTAATGTGTTGCTTAAAATAATACTTCTGCATACAGTATGTGAAACTGTGAGTGTTGCACGGCCAGATACGGCTCAGCTGACTCAGATAAGGAAATATATGATACATGATATGCCGCGGACCGTACTTATTGTTACTCTGATCCGGTTACTTATGTTGTGGCAGATATTTAATTAAGCTTTCTTAACGCTAATGTTATAATAGTCAGATTGCT